ATTCTGCTCTGCAGGTCCAACTTCAAACGGGCATAACTCCTTCATGTGAACTCCTTTTCAAGTCATTCTTGTGTCTAAATTGAAGCCCCAGAAGTAAGCTTTCCAATGGCACCAGCCTTACATCGGGATGCAAAAAGTTATGCTTGTTTTGGTGAAGGTTGGTCAGTTTCCAGCTTGCCAGAGCTTACAACAAGAAGGTTAATCCAAGGGATTTTCAAGTTGGCGACTTAGTCCTAAGAAAAGTCGTCGGGAACAAGAGGGATCCCAGGGAGGGCAAGCTTGGCCCAAACTGGGAAGGACCCTACAGAGTTACTTCAGTACTTGGCAATGGAGCATATCGGCTTGAGGACAATGAGGGCAAAGCATTGCCAAGACCTTGGAATACTTGTAATTTGAAATTTTTCTATCATTAGATAAAACATCAATGTTTGGCCGATATTATCAATAAAGTCTTTTCAAAATCCTTTTCAACATATGCGATTGATAAAGTTATGCATGGATGTTTATTGAAGACATATCAAACTGAGGCAAAGTTAAACCAAGATTATTCCTTAATCCACTTGTTGAAATTTGTAGCAATTTACAAGTTGAAGTTAAGCCGATGTTATTCCTTAATCCACTTGTTGAAATTTGTAGCAATTTACAAGTTGGAATTAAGCTGATTCCTTATCTTCGAAGATAGGCCGAGGTTATTGCTTAAGTTCTCATAGCAATATGTGGGTTGTTTAAACCCTAAGGAAGATGCTTAACACTTGTTGAAATTTGTAGCAATTTACAAGTTTATGTTAAGCCGATGTTATTCCTTAATCCACTTGTTGAAATTTGTAGCAATTTACAAGTAGGTTAGAACGAAATCACTATTTAAATACTTGTTGAAAACTTGAAAAGAAGATAGCAAAAGTATGCATTGAGTAGTACATGTTTTATGCTTGTCAAAATTTATACAAGGTTTGCAGGTCAGTATCTTGCCGAAGTAAAAGCTTTACAGTTATACCCGAGGTATGTAACCCCGAGAAGAGTACACAAAGAAAGCAAAATAAGAAAGCATGCAAAAATTCCTAAGTATAGAACTATGCAGAAGCAAACAGCAGAACATCATAAGATTGAAATATCCATAGCAAGAACAGTTGCAATTACATACTGAAAAAGGCACATCGGCCATAAGAAGGAATATACACTGTCCAGGAATTGAAAGAAAGAACAAAGTCTAAAATCCAGAAAAGAAAGAAAGGGAAATCAAGACTCTTGAACATCAGCAGCAGCAGGAACTGGAACCTCGGATGATTCAGGTGGAATCTCCTCGGCCGCCTTCTCCGCTTGTATTTCGGCATCTATCTCTGCCAAGGTTGTGTCAAGACTTCTGTCAGTCGGAAGGAGGTCAGATGATGGACACCCTTGAACAGATTCCTTGGACACTTCCTCAGCCTCATCACCCACTTCGTCTTGAGTTAAGTCTAAAATTTGCTCCGCTGGAAGAGAGGACTTGGCCTCAGCAGCGCCCTTGGGTTTTCTCACCAAGGCTTCACCCTCATCTTTTTCTTCGGGCACTTCCTCAGCATCATCACCCCCCTCATCTTGAGTTAAGTCCATAACCAGTTCAGCGGGAGGAGGGGACTTGACTTCGGCAGCATTCTTGGGTTTTCTCACCAAGGCCTCACCATCATCTTTTTCTTCATCTTCCTCCTCGGCCTCGGACTCTGATTCACCTTCAGGAGGAGGTGGAGGAAATGGTAACGGAATAGCATCGGCCTGACGCAATGGCGAGTCGGCAGGAAGGTCAAGCTTCTTTATCAAGGACATCCAACCAAGGGAAAATCCCCTGTTGCATGCCTGCCTGACTTGAAGCTTGTAGTCTTCTGCAACGTCGGCCATACCTTGAGCATAGGCCTTTTCATCGGCCTCTTTGATTTCGGCCTCCTTGGTGGCCAGCGCTTGTTGGAGTTCTTTTTGCGCTTGGACCTTCTGAGCCTCGGCCTCCCTTTTCTCGGCTTCAGCTACTTTTTTAACGGCCTCAGCAGCTTCGGCCTTCTCAAGAGCTAAGGTTTGGTTCTTCGTTGCAGCCTCGGCTTGATCCTCTAGTTTCTTCATTTTTACTTCAAGAGCCCTTAATTCTCTCTTCATTGAGGTCGCTTCCCTCTTCATATCAACCAATCTTTGACGATTCTCAAAGGATTGCATTGAAAATGAGTGGGCATGTTGGATAGCCTGAATGCAAACAGAAGTATCAGAAAATTTTCTCAGAAAGAAAAAGAAGGAAGAAACATAAATACAAATAGAAATACTTACTTGAGCAGAGTGTTGGAGCATCAGAGCGTAATTTTCATACTCACTGAACTTGGCATTTCGCTCCAAGTCATTTGGTAGAAGAAGAGCAGTGCTAAGGGCGACAGCAACGTTGATGTCATCAGCACTTTCGCTAGCCATGATAGGCCTGTCCTCTAGAGATAGATCAGGGGCCCATGGGACGTCGGGCTTCTTTGAAGCCGAGGTCGTCGCAGACGATGACCTTGGCCGCTTTGTTTGTGTAGACCCTGAGGGTTGACCCTCAGCAGATCTCTTGGTGGAGACAGAGGCTGATTTCTTGCTTTCTGCCAGCTTTGAAATAGGCACAGTATCTTCAGCTTCGGCATCTGTAGCCTTGGCCTTAGGCTGAGCCCTTTTTACTCTCTTTTGTTTGGGTGGGAGCATTGTTTGCGTTGGTGCGGCTTCGGCGTCAGTTGGGAGATCGGCAAGAAGGTCTTGGACAACAGGCCTTTGACGAACCATTTCGGCAGTCTTTACGAGCTTTCGTCGGCGTTTACGTTCAGGAATTGGTATTAAGAAGGGGGCCGAAGTTGATGGAAGATCGGCTGGGTCAGGTGTGGACTCTTGATCTGTCCGAGATGTAGAAGCAGTTAAGGTTGTGGCTGTTGGTGGGGAGAGACTCTTCTTCCTTTTTCGAGGGACGTCGGGTAAAATGGATTTGTGTGTGGGGACAAAGTTTAATAATACTGGGGCTTTTCGTTTAAGGATTGGAAGGCCCAGAAGTGTTCTCAGATCTGGTCCTGGGAAGAAGGATTGACGAAAATTTTTCGGTGGTTGATGAAGATCTGCAAAGAAACAGATGTCAGAAACAAAGAGTATTTGCAGTCCTAAGTAAAAACAATTAAGTGTTGACTCAGGGCTCTTACTCTTGCCCTCTGTAAGTGTTCGAGGGAGAGGGTAGAGGTGGACATCTTCATCTGGGCCAAATTCCCAATTTCCAGAGGCAATAAGAAAGTCATCTCCAGCCCCCTTGTTGGAGTCTGGAAGGTCGGCTATAATCTTGTACTGAGTGGATCTCGGCTTAAGGTAATAGACAAAACCCCTATCCTTCAGATCAAGAGGGCACATGGTATAACAATATTGAAGGTCGGCTAGGGTGATTCTAAGGTTTTCCTGCCTAGCTAAGGCTATAACACCGTTGATTACCCTATAAGAATTGATAGTAAGTTGCATGGGGTTTAGTCTATAGAAATGGAGAACTTGACGAAAAAGGGGATCGAGTGGAAGCCGAAGTCCACATTCGATAAAAGCAACTACTGGAAAAGGCATTGTATGGTCTGTAGGCACGATAGTGTCATTATCCCCAGCCAGCTTAAGATGAACGTCGGCTGGGATAGAGAATTCTTGCCTAAAGTATTCAAGACTTGTTGGGGTATTTACCCTGTGCCTCCACATACCCATTGTGTCGGCCTAAATTAAGAGGAATATGTTTCAGAAGACGGGCGTTTTTCAGGTTTCCCTAAAGATTAAGGGTTCTACAGACAAATCCCAAATCTACGAACTATTAAGATAAAGATCGAGGGCACAGATCTGGGGCAGATACAAAAAAGAGAAAACAAAAACGAGGTTTCAGATTCAAGAACAGAGGTATAATTTTCAGAAACAATAGAGGTACAGGAAAAAATCAAGAACAGCGGCAAAGAGAATGATGGAAAAGCATGGAGGTTCAAAATATAGCCATAAAATTCAAGATACGAATAAAACCAAGACCTCGAGCAAGGTCAGCAATGGAAAACAAACAGACAAAAGCGCATGAAAAGAATGGAAGAATTAAAGGAAAGGGTCTTACCAGGACAAATGAAGCCGAAGCAATGTTCGCCGAACCCAGAAACCAGTTACAACAACAAAGAGGGCTTTTTGCAGGAATGAAGGATCAAAAGCAGTTCCAGAAGAAAGTTTGAAGCAATGGCGGATTCAAAGAAGAAAAAGCTTTCAGGAAGAAAGAGAATGAGAAGACAGAACGAAAAAGTAAAGGAAAAGAAGAGGCAAAAAAGAGTTTTGTCAAAAATTTGAAACGGCGGCAAAAATAGGGCAATCATTACGCCTAGGGTAACGCACGCGTCAGACGGCGCAGACGAAACGAACAGACAGCTTCCAGGCGCGTCACTAACACGCTCCAATAAAGACGAAACACGTGGAAGGAACAGTTAGACATGAATGACAGCTCATGTGCATAGGGGAGTACAACCGAAGCCACGTTCTCCGAAGAGAACACGTCGGCTGAAAAAAGATAATCTTGGCAAAGCAGTCTTCTTGAGCCATTATTCAGAAAGGAAGTGACAAAAAATTCGGAATAGGTTCCATCACCTCAGAATTCCGAGGTAATAGAACCTAGGGGGCAGTTGTGGGGACATATATGAAGATAAAGATCGAGGGCACAGATCTGGGGCAGATACAAAAAAGAGAAAACAAAGACGAAGTTTCAGATTCAAATGTATAGTTCTCAGAAACAATAGAGATACAGAAACAAATCAAGAATAGCGGAAAAGAGAATGATGAAAAAAGCCTAGAAGTTCAAGGCATAGCCACAAATTCAAAGATACAAATAAAACCAAGACCTCGAACAAGATCAGTAATGGCAACAGGCAGACAAAGGCACATAAAGAGAATGAAAGAATTAAAGGAAAGGGTCTTACCAGGACAAATGAAGCCGAGGCAATACTCGCCGAACCCAGAAACCGGTTACAACAGCAAAGAAGGCTTTGCAAGACTGAGGGATTAAGAGCAGTTCTAGAAGAAAGATTGAAGCAATGACAGATTCAAAGAAGAATGAGCTTTCAGAGAGAGAAAGAGCAAGAAGACGGAATGAAAAGGTGAAGAAAAGATAGAGGCGAAAGAAAAGTTTTGTCAAAAATGTGAAACGGCGGCAAAATTAGGGCAATCATTACGCCTAGGGTAACGCACGCGTCAGACGGCGCAGACGAAATGAACAGACAGCTTCAGGCGCGTCACTGACACGCTCCAATAAAGATGAAACACGTAAAAGAAACAGTTAGATATGCGTGACAGCTCATGCGCGTGGGAGAGTACGACTGAAGCCTTGTTCTCCGAAGAGAACACGTCGGCTGAAAGTAGATAATCTTGGCTAAATAGTTTTTGAGCCATTACTCAGAAAAGAAGTGACAAAATTTCGGAATAGGTTCCATCACCTCAGAATGTCGAGGTAATAGAACCTAGGGGGCAGTTGTGGGGATATATTTTCTGAATACCAACACGTGGCATGGTGACGCCGACGTGTCAGCCGAGGTGCCACGTGTCTTGGTAGTTAAGCCGTGACGCCGACGTGTCAGCCGAGGTGCCACGTGCCTTGGTAGTTAAGCCGAGGTAATCTCGGAGAAGCCGAGGTCACCTCCGAAGATATCGGAATCCGAGATAAGGGGCAAGAGTCCTAAGGCACAAAGGGGACTGGACCAAGATAAGGATAAAATTCTCAAGGAGTTTATCTTTATCACTTAGAAGAGTCCAGAGTAAGCAGTGAACTAGAGTTCATAGAAGTCATACTTCTAGTGGGACTTGGATTGAGTATATTATAAAAGAGAGGCACCCCCATGGGTCTAAGGTATGTATTTTATACTTTGAGTATTCAGTTTAGTACTTGATTATCTTTGAGAGATATACTGACTTGATCGTCGGAGTGCCCCCGGGTGGAAGAACCACCGCCGGAGCTTTTTCTTCCTGTTTCAGGTTACTTAAGCCATCTATTCTGCTTGTGCTCTCCAGCTGATCACTAAACGGGCAGTGTGGTCAGATTTTCACCCACACAAGATGTATAGTAGTTGGTGTTAGATTTGCAGGAATATGGTGTTGGATTCTTGTACAATTGATTGTTTAATTTCATACAATTTTCTTTGTGGGGAAGTATTTTGAGAATGACGCCACGTGGCCAAAGTGCCTTCAAGATGTCGGCCGAGGTGCCATGTGGGCAAGTTATGTTTGCCGAGGTGATTGTGGCATTGCCGAGGTTCGATACAATAATGTCAGACTCCGAGATATTCAGATAGAAAATAAGAGTCCTAAATGACATTAAGCTACCTATTTGGATAGAGATGGGACTCTTGAAGAAGTTCATCTTAATCTGAATAGAGTGAGTTGTGATAGATGTTATTCTTGTAAAGGATAGAGTCCCATGAAATAAGACTTCTACGGAAAGTTGGACACTAATCATTATAAAAGTAAGGCACCCCCTCTGGGTCTAAAGTATGCTTTAATTTGTGTATTGAATGCTTGTGCGAGATCTTTGAGAGATTGATTGACTAAGTTGATTGTCGGAATGCCCTTGGGTGGATGAACCACCACGGTATTCTCATTTTCTTGTTTGCAGGTGGTTGATTTCATCTACTCTATCATGTGCTCTCCAGCTGAATTCTCTGTTTAGTTGTGTGGCCTGAAATTAACACCCACAATTTGGCGCCGTCTGTAGAAACTTAGTTAGAATAGATGGCCATCATTGTGCAAGATTAATGTGTCAGCGACGACGACTTCAGCGAAGATGGAGAATACGTCAACATTGACGAAATGAAGACCTTTCTGGAAGGGATGAATGAAAAATAAGAGGGCATGAGCACTCCCGAGGAGATGAAGACGACCTTCAAGTAAAAAAGACATTGGCCTAGGTGAAGCAGATCCAAGATGGAAAACCATGGCCTAGGTGGAGCAAATCCTAGGTAGAAGAGCATGGCCTAGGTGAAGCAGATCCAAGATGGAAGAGCATGGCCTAGGTGAAACAGATACCAGAAGACAAGATCTTGGCCTAGATGAGTAGATCCGAGAAGCCAAGAGCTCAACCTAAGTGAATAGATCCCAGATTTCAGAAGACAAGATCTCAGCCTAGATAACTAGGTGTGAGAAAACAAGAGCTCAACCTAAGTGAGCAGATCCCAGATCCAAAAGACAATATCTCATCCTAGATGGGTAGGTCCGATAAGATAAGAGCTCAACCTAAGTGACCAGATCTCAGATCCTAGAAGATAAGATCTCGGCCTAGATGAGTAGGTCCTAGAAGCCAAGAGCTTAGCCTAAGTGAGCAGATCCTAGATCCCAAAAGACAAGATCTTGGCCTAGATTATTAGGTCCAAGAAGACAAAAACTTAGCCTAAGTGAACAAATCCCAGATCCAAAAGAAAAGATCTAGGCCTAGATGAGTAGGTCTGAGAAGACAAGAGTTTGACCTAGGTCAACAATTTTGAAAAGATCAGAACTTACCGGAGGCGAACATAGTTAAGATAAAACAAAGCTTACCTAAGATTAGAAGATCTTGACGATAAGAGATTATCGAGGCCTTGGAATGTAGCTTGACGAAATTTGGAGCTCGGCTCTATTGGTGTCAATAACCTCAGCCAAAGTATTAATAAAATACTAGTATTGACTTTGTTCATTACAAAAATGTTGTTTATGATTATGAGATAAAATTGAAAAAGTCTTAAGGCGATGTTCTCGTGGTGAACAAGGCGATTAACTTAGACTTGCCATGATGGCAGAGTTGAACTAAGTATAAAGCGATGCTCCCATGGTAAACAAGGTGATTAACTTAGACTTACCATGATGACAGAGTTGAACTAAGTATAAGGCGATGTTTCAGTATAAAACAAAGCAAAACTTGCCATATTTTGGTCGGTTTGTGCGAAAAGCCAAAGTAGATAGTACTCTTGGTACACTGAGGTCAAGCCTCAAGTGTTTAGTTTGGGCAAGCCAAACGCGATGACCTCAGTTATGGATGTCTACGTTAGACTTAGGCAAGAATCAGGCGATGTTCTCATGGTGAACGAGGTGATTAACTTAGACTTGCCATATTGGTAGAGTTGAACTAAGTATAAGGCGATATGTCAATGTGAAACAAGACGAAACTAGCCATGTTTTGGCTAGTTTGAGTGAAAAACCGAAGTAGATAGTACTCTCAGTACACTAACGTCAAGCCTTAAGTGTTTAGTTGGGTGAGCCAAACGCGATGACCTCGGTCATGGATGTCTAAGTCAGACTTAAACAAGATTCAGATGATGTATTTCTAATGTGAACATGAGTTGTATTTATATTCACATTAAGAGGGACAGAGAGCAAAGATGAGTTAATGAAGACTGAGTCAGTGATTTGAAAGTAATAGTTTGTGAAATTTTTTTAAAAAATTGGTGAGATGAAGGTATCCAAGATAGCACTTATACCCAAGATGACATGATCCGAGATGATGATTTTATCTGAGATGTTGACATGTTCCTTATATTGATCTCGGACAAAATCTTGGCCTTCTTGATAGGACTTTGTGTCTACTCCGTGCTGTAACTTGGTTCTTTTGCTCCATATGCTTCTATTCTGAGATGTTGAGTTGCTGGAGACATGAGCATGTTGGATCAACTATAAGAAGACGGAGCGGATCACACAGTTATGACATTAGAGATGTCAGCAAAAGGTCTTCTACTACAAGAGTTCGACAAGACATGTTGTCATTGGTTACGGTGATGGTTACTAGTAGACAAGGTGATTGAATGATTGTCAAGGTCTAAGGCTGGGAGCTTAGAACCTCGGTGTTTCCTGTTCATGGTTCTAGCTGCAAGATTATCGCTATATTGGTGTTTGTACTACCATTGAGATGGTGGGTTGATGCATGGAGCAGCTGATGAAGGGTTTGGCTACTAGTCTAGTTCAGCTGGTAGAGTTTGAACCTTGGGCACAAATGGACTATTCATAGCAATGAATGCTTCAAGAACAACGATGATGGTTTGTAAAGGCCAAAAAAGAGGGAGTCTGGAGACACAGGGAAAGATGAAATGGGAAAATGAAAAGGTTTTGTTGAAATGGAAAGAGGTGACAGATTGTAATGATTCAAGTTTCTTGGGAGACGAATGATGGCCGATGGCGTCTAATAGGGCGGTGTGTGTCAATTATGAGACGTATTGGGAACCGATGAAGAGGTGACACGTCATGATGTTGGTATGGAGGTTGAGATGATAGATTTCAAATCTTAATGTTCTTGAACTAGAGAGTTATGACCTCGGCTAGTAATGCGATCTCGGTTGAGATGATGATCTTAGTTGAAAAGTGCGATCTCGGTTGAGATGATGATCTTGATTGAGAAGTGCGATCTCGGTTGAGATGTTGATCTTGGTTGACATGATAATCTCGGTTGAGATATTGATCTTGGTTGACATGATAATTTTAGTTGAGATGTTGATCTTAG